CAAATTTGCTTTGACCTTCAAGACCATATCTTGATCCAGAGTGTTAGTAATTGTCTAGGAAGACAGATGGCGATATGTTAGGGATATAAGTAGGGAAAGTCATGACAGTCTGCGAATTTTGTCCGACTCAGGGGAGAGGACGATTCCCATGCGTCCAGTATGCTCAGTTAAGCTCTAAGTCGAAAGTTACGTTGGAAAATCTGTCAGGTGGTTCGACTAGGGTTGTAAGCAGGGCGTGGCTTCGCCAACGTTTTTAAAAAATCAACAATAACAGTTATGTAGTTGACATTTAAAGATGCCTAGTTCCATATTGTTTATGATAATTAGATTTTGTTAATTAAATTGTGCTAATCGCGTATAAAATTACATTTTGCTTTCTACGGTGGTCAGTTGATGATGTCCACCCAAAAGTTCAGAGTACTAAAAAATAAGTGTAGATAAAGGACGGGCAATTTCGAAATAGGGGAAGGGGGATTTAGGATTTAATGTTCACAAATTATCGGGGGTCGCATTCTAAACGGCGTGGGGGTAGATTGATGGATTTAATTAGAGGGCAGTTAGCCACTGGGACGTCGTCGAGGGGGGGGGAGAGCTATGCCCGTGCGTTAAAAAGGGATACTTTTTCGCCCCGGGGGGAAACGAAACACGAAACCGAGTCATTCACTATTCCGAAGCCATCAATGGCTTGTACAGTCACTTCTCGAACGTGCATTCCTGAGCCGAAGGAACTTTAAACTCTCCCAAGGTTGGGCAAATACGGGATTTAAGAGTACAGCCTGGGGTGGTTGATATTTCCTAAAGCCAGTAGCTGTAGTCGGTACAAAAAGAGATAATTTCTGTATATACAATAGGTATGGCATGTTTCAAGAAAAATTCGTCTGAACAACTCAGCGAGTTGAATGAAGTATGAAAGGTTTTTGTACCAAATCGCTTCAATAGGGAAATCCAATCCAATATGTAAATGGAAACCATAGCAATCCCGCTAAATTTACATATAATTTACTTACTAAAATGCCTAAAGACTTAACTCGAAATAATTAATTACAGGACCACCGTCATAGACCTTTCGAACGAAGAGGAAAGTGAGTTGAGAGCTCCTGTTACCGGTTTATTTGGTTTGAAATTCCTTACAAGTTCGTTCAGCTTTTCGAAGAAAATCTTTCACCATCGAATCATGTGTTAATATTAACATTCGTCGGAATTTGATAGAATAATAAAGCTTTTAAAAACAATGATAATAAAGAAAGATTGTTAAAGGAGGAAAAGTTTCAGATTTTTGTAACTGGGTGTGGAACTCTGTTAATAGGTCTTCTGTTCGTTTTTGAAATTCCCCTAAACATTCTTCAACAATCTGCACCTTCTACTAGTTTCATTTCATTTGTAATATCTTCGCCAATTTGTAGAATACCCTGTAGATAAAATTGCTAAGGTTTTGATGGTCTTGTCAGTTAATTCTTCAGTAGGTCCAAAACTTGCAAATTTTAACAAAGATGGATAGACTTCTCTTACCACTTGTGATGTTATTTGAAGAGCCTTTGATAGTTAAAAAAACCTTGTCGATTTTAAACAGATTTTTTTTGCTCTTGTTACACTTGTAATCTTAGTTGATTAGTTCAAAAAAAACTTGCAAATTTTAAAAAAGATGCACTTCTTTTTATATTACAAGTTTGTTCTAATACCTTGACGATTTCTTCATTAATTATTGAGAGAAAATTAACAGATATGAACAAAAATGCTTAGGTTTATTTGTACCTTCTGTTGTGTTTCTGTTTTGCATTTCTTTAACAATTTCTTCACAAATTTTAAGGAAAACTTGTTGATTAAATTTTTCTTGATGATTGAATTTTTCTAGGTATGTAACACCACTTGCTAAATTATTGTGCCTTTATTTAGAACTTCCTTACGTTACTTACAAACAATATAAGTAACTTATAGGTTACCAATTTATTTAGTTTCGTCAGTCTTCTCACTTTTCCTGCTATTGTTAACAGTTTATTATGTATTGAAGGTGCGAAAAGGTCCCTGGGAGTAATATCACACTGAAAGACAACACAGAGCACCTACACCGTAACCGTTTGCAATTTGAATGTTTTCGGCGTGATTTCCTGTTTCTTTAGCGAGAAGGACGATGATGTTTATGTGCACACTTCAATTAACTCGTTTCAATTGAAATTCCACCCGTTCCCTCCTTCTAATTAAAATAAGCCATTTGTACGAACGTTAAAGTCGGTAATTAGGTCTTTACTTGAGGGAGTAAGGCTCTGCCTCCTGGAATGTAAAACAACGCCCATGTACTTCCAACGACTTGCACGGAAAATGGCTTTATTAGCGACTTGTTCAAGTTTTTTCCCCCGTGTTTCCACATAAGAATCGGCCCAAGCTAATTGCTTAATTCGACGCTTTTTTTGGGATTTGCAGCTCCCAGACTGAAAAGGTTTTATTTTTCAAGTAATTCAGGTAAAATTAATCGGCGTTTTGTGCTTACTCTTCTTTTCTACTTGGAATACAGTACAGATAAGCGGCACACGTTGTTTGAAGATTTCTCCACACTTTCAATTAACTCGTTTCTTCTCTCTCCTCTTCTTTCTTGAAGAAGAATCATCTGAACGTTCTTATAAACGAACTCTGCAACTTTGTTCGTCTGCAGTGTAAGATTAATATATAAGCTAGTGTGTGCTAATTGTCAATTTGTCAGTAAAGGCCCGGTATTTAACAGAATTTTATCTTGGGGAGTAGTAAACGAGGCAGTTTTATGGCTAAATTGTTACTCAAGAGGTTTGACATCTTCAAATGTGGCAAGAAATATTTTTTCCGGTTCCGGTGTTTTTGAATAGTGAAACCATCCTTAAGTGATTCTTTTATTCTTCCTCCTCCACTCTTAAGGATTATTCAATCCTGGCACTACGTGGAAGTTGGGATTACTGGTATTCCAATCACATGGCACTTCTTGCCTGCCGATGACTCATCCCCGCGCAGCCTGGTTTCTAAGAAATCTCATAATGCAAATCCCTACCGGCGAAAGGGGCCTTCCCAGAAATGGAAACCGTTTCGCGGTGCGATGATCGAATTCTTACCGTGTAAAAAAGCTTTTGCATAATTGGCGCAAAGTCGAAATGTCGTAGAGAATGATAAGTTTACAAATTTACCACGACCCGGAAGCACTGCGTTAAGTCAAAACTAAACTACTAAGTATAAACCACAACAACAAAATTGTGACAGACGTTGATGGAACATTTAGAAAAAACATCTTCCCTTCAAAGCAAGAAGCCAGCCCAGTTTATATATTAACATAATCAAATAATTAACTGATATTTTATCTTATCCTATACTACCAATTTATATTAGCCCTACCCTACCAACTATACCAAGAATCCTTTATTTTTACATTTAATTTTATATCAATTTTAATTTTAATTAATTTTCATATGGTCTTCTAAGAGCCTATTGTTTTTATATATTTAAAAAAAATTAGGAAATATGTAGGAATTTTAATTTACATGGTCATATTTCAAACCATTCCCTACAATTTTTGGGATGGAACCTCATTATATATTATTGTTTAGATAAATTTAAAAACGCTTGTAGTTCCAGCAGATTTTCTTTATTTATGGAACCAAAATCGTTTTTGCATTTACCTAACCAATAATATACAATTAAAAAGAGTACATTTGGAAGTAAAATAGGTTAATATGTAGTTAAAAAAGGGTTAATTTGAAAGTAAAAAGGTAAAGTTGAAGCATAAAGAGTAAATTTGAAATCAAAAAGTTAATGTTTTATTTTAAAAATGGTTAATTTGAAACTAAAGAAGTTCATTTGAATTTAAAAGAGTTAATTTAAAGTAAAAAGGTGTAATTTGAAATAAATAAAGTTTAATTCAAAAATTTAAAAAAGCTAATTTGTACTTAAAAAGGGTTAATCTGAAATTTCAAAAGGCAATTTTGAAGTTAAAAACGGTCGGTTGGTAGTTAAAAAGGGTTATTTTGAAATTTAAAATGGTTAATTTAAAGTTAAAAGGGGTTAATTTGAATTTAAAAAGGGTAATTTGAAATTAATAAAAGATTAATCCGAAATTTAATAAAGTTAATTTGAAGTTAAAAAGGGTTTATTTTGAAAGTAAAAAAAGTAAATTTGGTGTAAAAAATAGTTATTTGGTGGTTAAGAGGTAATTTGGAATTTAAAAAGATTAAAAAAGGATTATTTTGAAGTTACAAATGGTTAATTTGAATTTAAATAGGGTAATTTGAAATTAATAAAAGTTAATTCGAAATTTAAAAAAGCTAATTTAAAGTTAAAAAGGGTTAATTTGAAATTTTAAAAAGGTAAATGTTATATTAAAAAAATGTTAATTTGAATTCAAAAGGGTTAAGTTAAAGTTAAAAGGGGTTAATTTGAATTTAAAAAGAGTAATCTGAAATTAATAAAAGGTTAATCCGAAAGTTAAAAAGTTAATTTTTAGTTAAAAAGGGTAAATTGGAAATTTTAAAAGGTAAAGTTGGAGTTAAAAAAGGGTTAATTTGAAATTTAAAAAGAGTTACTTTGAAATTCTCAATGGTTAATTTGAGGGAAACAAGGTCTGTTAGCGAATTTTTAATATAAAATAATTGGACTCTTAGAAGGCTATATGAAAATATTAATAACAATTAAAATTAAAGATTATACGAAAATAATTATAAAAATAAACGAAATCTTTTAATTTAAATTTTGTTTAAATATAAAATTGGTCCTTATAAAGTAGTACTACATGCTAGTACTTAATACTACATTTTTTTTTAAACTGGCATTGGGTTGGTCAGCCTATCAGCCATTTTTCTATGTATTGCACTCAAAGAAAGTGGGAAGAAACATAAGGCCCCTACGAGCACCGTGCCACCCCCCTGGCCGAGCCCCTACACGGGGTCAGACCCACAGGGTCACCCAATATAAACAATTAAATTTAAAAACATGGTTTTTCTATTAATTCCAGTTTTTTCTACAATATTTTTTTTTTTAATGTGTTACAGATCGACTGCTTATACACAAGGAATATTCCAATCAATTGGCTTCAAAGAGTTTCATGAATATTTGATTCTGCCTGCTGAAGAAAAGGACACACCAAAGGGGCAGACACTCATCGAAGAGGGAATCTCGGCGCTGAAGACTGTCACGAGGCGATACGCCAGGAGGCAAAAGAAATGGATCAACAATCGCTTCTTAAAAGCAGCCGGAAGACAGGTAAAACTAATTACATAGTTTCTCAATAAAAAGAAATTAATTTTGGGTCTCTAGGTGCCACCAGTGTATGCCCTGGATGCAACGGATCTTTCGAAATGGGACGAACGTGTCTTCAGACCGGCTGAAGCGATCCTCAGGAAGTCTCTCAACCCACAATCCGACATCCAAGCACCTGAACCGCTTGCAAGGGTGGTTGAAAATACAAAAATTGACATTCGAGTTCTTAAAGGAGATCACTTCTGCGATATCTGTCAAAGGATATTCATAGGTATGACTTAAAAACAAAAGTTACTAGTTTTTGTTGTCGAAGAATCAAATTTTATGAAGTTTCATAGTAAAAAAAAAAAATATTACATTTGTGTTCTTGTAGGTCAACTACAATGGGAAAGTCACATGATGTCCAAAAAACACCAAAAAATGGTTAAAAAAAGAGAGCAAGAACGATCGGAAGAAGTTCACAAACGATCCAAAGAATAAAACTTGCAAATATTTGTATATCCTCTTGTTTTTATATGCTAAGTTACCTAATTGTACATAAATTTTTACTTAAATAAATTTTACTTTTATGTTAACACAAATTGTGTGTAATTTCACCCTTAGTTTCTATAGAACATTTAAACATTAAAAAGAGGCGTCGATGGCCGAAATGGTTAAAGCATTGACACAGCACTGATCGCTGTAAGGTAAAGGTTCTGGTTAGAAAACAGTGGCTCTGTGTTTGAACCAAGATACTCAGAATACACTTTTTTCAGATACATTGTTATCATAAATAAAGAATGAGATGCCATACTTTTTACTCATTTGATGAAGACATGGTAGTAGTGGAACTGACTGGCATTAAACAAAATCTAACTTTTATTATAATCAGCGCATATTTTGATATTACAAATGATATTAATCAGGATTTGAAAAAACTAAAAAACATACTAGCCCTTTGCAAACCTCAAAGCTAAAGTTATAATGTATATACGAACGGTAGATCTAAAAATTGGTTCGCCAAACTTACAAACAAAAGGGGCAAACATTTTGAAGAGTTCATCGCGGTGAATTCAATAATCATATAGAATGAAGATGATGGAAAATCAATGTTTGAAACAAAACATGGAATGAGTAAAATAGATCTTACAATGTCTACCACAGGTTTATCATCTTTTATATATTTCTGGGAAAATTCAGATGAAGAAAGTGCATCAGATCACAAATACCTAGTTTTCATCATAAGTAGAACATCAGAATTTTCAAGGACTAAAGCAAATTGCTATAAATATAAAGATATTATTTAGCAAAAATTTGAAAAAAAAAAAAATTATACAAAACGGTAGAAAAAATTGTAAGCACAAGCCATAAAAAACAAAATGAGGTATTAACTATAAAGCTACTTTATCTAAGACTTCCTTCTAACATATCCATGACAAATGAAATAGACAAAACAACTAATGATTTTACCTCAGCTATAATTGAAGCTTGCGATGCCTGTGTTCCTATTAAAAATATTTTAAAGAAAAAATTTAATAAATCAGTTCCGTGGTGGACTAAAGTACTAACAGAGACATGAAAGAAAATACACCGACTAAGAAGGAAGTACCAAACAACAAAAATGACCCTGCACTTAGGGAGCAAAGAAAACAACAATACTGGAAACAGAAAGAACATTACGCGAAAATGATTTTACATGCCAAAGAAGATTGATGGAAAAAGTATTGCAATAATCAAAATAGCTCTAACCCATGGGGAGTAATATATAAGCTAAAAATCAAAACTGACATTTACTACTCTAAAGAAAAAAATATGGCCAATACACAAAATCACTCAATGAAACAATCGACAATATGATTATTTAGAGATCATGAGATGTGGTCTGGTATGATGTAGGTTTAGCAATACATTTTCTTTATTGTGCCAATGTTTCAATCTTTATTGAGATCATCTTCAGGGCCTGGGATTTATAATCTTTGTTTAAATTATACAAATACAAGTAAGATGTGAAAAAATGAATTTATACAATGCTAGAAATTTTAGACTCAATCAAAGTATTTGAGAGACAATATTGTGAGTGAATACAAATACTTTGAGTCTAAAATTTCTAGCATTGTATAAATTCATTTTTTTACATCCTACATGTATTTGTATAATTTAAACAATGTTTATAAATCCCAGGCCCTGAAGATGATCTCAATAAAAATCAAAACATTGGCACGATAAAGAAAATGTTTTTCTAAACCTATGTCATACCAGACCACATCTCACGATCTCCAAATAATCATTAATTAACGTCACTCCACAAGTCGACAATTGGTGGACAACTATCTAGAGACAAAACAATGTAGAATAACAACGATGAAGGAATGTTAGAGGAGGATCATCTGTTCACACGGACGAAATAATACAGACAATCATTATTTTTCAGGATGGCAAAGCCCCAGGCATAGATGATCTGAGCAAAAAGATTTGCTAAGAAGTTTTTGTGCGTCTCCCTTGCTCAATAACACAATTATACAATATTTGTTTGCACACAGTCATATTCCCAGAAATCTGGAAGAAGTTGGAACTTATTCTGCTAATAAAACCGGGCAAGTCAAAGGAACAAGGACCAAGCATATACAGACCAATCGTTGTGGAATAGACAAAAAGTTTCTTTCCATCCGTCAAAGTTGGTATAGCAACTGACATCCAAATAAATTTTAAAACAACACAGTCTTTCAAACCACGGCAAACAAAAAGTGTACCTTAACGCTTTGGTTTAGAGGAAGACAACCAATGCAGCTGCCAAACTGGAGGGATACAAAATTGTGAACACGAGGTTTACATGTGTTCATTCTTTGAAGCAATTAGAGTACCACTGACAAAATCAGTACTCCAAGAACGCGGCAACTGGCCTTTACTACCACACGAACAAATAGGAAAACATTCAAAAGATTTTATTAATTATGTAAATAAAATGGACCAATTTAATTTAATAAAATGTAATCATACTTTTTAACTAACTGCAAAATCTGTTTTATTTTTGCGAAAATAAATTATGTAAGTAAATGATAATAATTATTAAAGTAAATAAATTCAATAAAATTATATGCCAAAAATGTACAAAATGAAAATATATAAAGTACAAATAAATGTAAACTAATCCTGCAATCTCAATGGGAGTGGGTTGAATAAACTCCTCCATGTAAGGGTAACCTTATAAAGAGAGAAAAAAGTAAGATACATAACAAAACAAAAAGAATAACTAACAAGGAGACAGCCAAGTTGGTGTATCTCGGATTTGGAGCAAACTTTTTTTGGTGATTCTACACTCCAAAATATCAGACACATATCTGCCACCAGTTAATAGGCCTAGTTTTGCAACAAAAAAAACAATTGAAAGTTGAAATTTTTAATATTTTTAGTTCGCTCATCTGCTTACACAAATCAACTATGTGAATACATCATTTTACAGTTTTTTTTTTTTTTTTTAATGTAGATTGCAAAAAAAAATATATTAAAAGCTATTAAAGTTTATCAATAACGAAAAAATTCTAAAGCCAAACATTTTTCAAGTAAACTAGGTCATCCCCCCCCCGTGAAACCAATTTGAAATTGGTTTTAGCACCTCTATAGACCCCACCACTAAATAGAAATTGTTTGAATTTACTTTATCAATATTTTGACCCCTAATATTTTTCCAATTTTTAAGAAGTCATTCTCGGAATATCTGATTGAAACGGCTATAATTCAAAAACGGCTAAAAGGAGTTTAACATCAAACACACCATTTGAAAGAAGAGAAACAGCTTTTTAATGACGTGTGTACCATTAAAATATTTAAAAAATTTCTATATGCAAAAAATAAGAAAATATTTTTGTCAACCTCGTTTTTTAAATGGAAATACTAGTCTGATTTTCATGTTTGATACAGTTGCAAAATGCATTTGACAATTTCTTTAAAATGTATTTTCAACTATGAAAATCAGTCCACTAGCTTTTGAAAGAAATGATGTTAGAGCTTGGTCTAAAAATGTCAGTCGCACAGAACGTCATCAAAATTATCAGCTAAAAACTTAATTTACACCAATTTCTGTAAAAGTAAGGATCTAAGGGTTTTATAACTTGCACGAGGAATGTTGGTCAGGTCATCGAAATTATCAGTCAAAAAATTAACACATCAATTTCCGCGAAAGTCAAGATCAAAGGGTTTTATAAAGGTAGAATCATGGCAATGAGATCAAATCCAAGTTTTGGCCATTTTCTGACCTACTTTGCTTTTTTTAAAAAAAAAAAAAAGGATTGTTAAAATATGCACACCCATTCACACACACACAAAAAAAAGAAGTATTTCGTTAGGAGGGTTAGGTTGATTTATCTTTTTAAATCAAACCAAATCAGAATATTCTGCATTGTAGAATATTTTTGTTTTTATCTTAACCAACAATGAACTTAATAACGAAGGTAAGATGAACCGACCATATAGATATCACCAATTTTTGTTGAGGATCAGGGTTGCGATCACAAAGAAGTTACAACACTCACTTCTTTGTGACTGCATCCCTGATCCTCAACAAATTGGTAATGAAATTAAAAACCAAAAATAATTTGTTTTTGTAATTTCTAAGTAACAATTTATGTTCATTTAATTGCGACTAAGATTAAATTTTGAAAAAAGCTATGTTTCTTCTGAATTACATATGAATATTTTTACTGTTGGATATACATAATATTATGAACTGCACTCCTCAACGTCAAAATAACTTTTGGCCTTTGCATACTAACAAACCTAAGGAGTCTGTTGACAAGTGAGAATAAGTAATTCCATAAATACCCACACTTTTCCATTAAAGACGTGTTCGTTATAAATAGACTTAAGGTAATTTTTAATAAATCAGGTTAAAGAAACTTTTTTCAAAATATAATTATATATAAAATATAAATCATTACGTAGAAATTTAAAATTTTTTATTTTTGGTGTATTAATTTCATTGTTGATTAAGATAGACAAAAATATTCTACGATGCAGAATATTCTTGAACATTCTGTAAACAAACTAAATCAGAAAATGGTCAAAACTTGGATTTGATCTCATTGTCATGATTCTAGCATAAAACCCTAGATCGTGACTTTCGGGGAAATTGGTGTAAGTTAAATTAATGACTGATAATTTTGTCCTGACCGACATTCCTCGTGCAACCTCTAATACCATTTTTCTCAATCCTAGGAGATTGATTTTGATGGTTGATAATTCCTTTTAAAGGAAATATCAAGTGCATTTTAGAACTGTTAAAACATTAAAATCAGAATATCATTTCCATTTAAAAAATGAGATTACTTTCCGACAAACATATTTTCTTATTTTATGTATTTTCTTATAGAAATATGTTATATATTTTTATAATGCAAATGCCATTAAAAAGCTACATTTCTTTTCTTTCAAATGGTATGTTTGATGTCAAAATCTGTTTAGTTGTTTCAATCAGATATTCCAAAAACAACTTCATAAAATGGGAAAAATTACAGTCATCAAAAAATCGATAAATTTAAATTCAAACAAAAAATTATATTTTTGGGGTCTCT